TTTTTTTTTTTTTTTTTTTAGCCGGACGGATTCCGTATAGAGGAAAAGATAGAGAGATTCCGGATAGAGAGCGCTGAAAATTCCCCATAAATTCATGTTCAATTTCATTTTTCAAAATAGAGGAGATTGTTCGTTTCGACCTTATACGCCTCGAATTGTCGCATCACAGTACGCTCGAAAATATGCAGAACCGGGATAACCTTTAGGATTTTTTCCGTAGCGTGCGCGACAACAACGCGATGGCATGATGCCTGGTGTGCTAATTCGCCATCAGTAATAAGTATTCCAGTTTATGGGGTGGCTGATGTGTAGGCCGGCTGCTGCGCCGCGGTCTTCTCGTGATTCGCACCATACCGATAATGGAAGGATCGATTCTCGCACAATTAGTGCGCCTGTCACTCATTTTTCCCCACTGAGGTTGCTCTCATTCTCCAACGCGGATAAACAAGTTCTTATTAAAGTGAATGGTCTAATGGGGGGAGGGGGGGGGGGGGGGTTGTCGCTTCTAGCCTCTCCACTACTTAGGTTTAACACAAATGAACCTCCATCAAATTGCGTACTACGATTGTTAATATGCTCATACTGTTACTTCCATTATGTACGCTCGGGTGAAACGTGCTCAAAATAAACTCTCAGTTCCTCTTCGATTTTTGATTCGGGGTTACATTTATGAAGACTTAATTTGGCCAGGTTGGCCTAGTGGTCAGCACATCTGACTCTAGGTCAATAGGTCCCGGGTTCGAATCCCGGTGGTGGCGTCTAATTTTCACGGGATTGACGAGTAGATCTGCTGAAACAGATTCTTCTCGGCCCTAATCCCTGAAAATTTGACAAGCCTGGAGCATGGAGATCCCACGATGTCTACGGACACTAAATATTGTCTAAAGTTGGCTGAGGGTGCTAGAGACGAAGTCATTAAATCAGCAGGAAAAAAAAAATCGGCAGTGTGGCACCGGCTAACACACTCGCGAGGGCATGTCTTGCGAAGTCAGTGGTCTCAGTTGGGTTTGGTTCGGATAGGCAACTAAACTAACTTCATGACAAGGCGGGAAGTATCAGCGTATTCGAAGGCGCTCTCTGCCGATGTCATTCTTTTGAAGTTCTTTAAGAATGAGAGACCTTCTTTGTGTCCACGCGAATTTTCACGACTGAAATTTTGTTTTTGTTTTTTGTTGGGGTACTACCACAATTCTGCCGCGCTAAGCAAGAACGCCGTAAATCCATCAAGATTTTCCCGCCTTTTTAGGAACTTAACACTTAATAAAATAAAAACTGTTGTACCCATGCACCTCAAATTTTCAAGTTATGTTTTTGGTGGTATTTGCAAAAGAATTCTGTAAAAACATTGTCCCAAGGTACATAAGTTTTTCTGGTATGATACATCGTTTCAAAAAAATTTAAAATGACGTTTACGGCGTTTTTGCGTTGCACAGCAGAATTGGAAAGGGTACTACCACAATTAATGGGGGCACTACCACAATTAATTGGGGCACTACCACAATAAATTGGAGAAGTTCATATCATTTAACAGTTAGGACCTGACCCCTAGCTCTTTTTTTTCTTTGCGCACGACCGTGAATATCACGTGTTTTATTTTTAAAGTGTTGATGGAAATCACCATTTTTTATTATATCAAATGCGAAATAAAATTTTGTTGATGAATCTGTCAACTGCGTTGAGCTGAAAGCATCTTTTAAGTTGAGTTAGGTGCGCCACTCCACTCAGGAGCGCGGCATGGGGACTGTCGATGCAAGTGCCTCTTCTGATTTAATGATTCACACGCACCGCAAACTAAGCGCGTCGAATTGCTCGATCCCTCTCTCACAAAGCTCCATTCCTCCGTTGTTCCGTCTGGAGTCGTCTCCAGTTTTTATGACACCTGATGTCATAGACCGCTGACGCTCCGGCGCAGGCGCAGGGCCGTACCCTCCATTTAGCAAAGAGAAAGGATGGGCACCCGGGCACCGGCCACGAATCAGGGGACTCGACCGTTCTTTGTCAAGGAATACATTCGTTTATGTACAAATGATCTGAGGAAAATTAATTTTGTCACACGATATTGACTTCATACGGTGAGTTAGAGTTGAACTGCCAGGGTCTAGTTTCATAAGAATTTAAACGCTGGGATCTACACTGAAAAAAATGTATGCTGTTTTAGCACCTAGGATGTCAAAAAAGTGTCTGGTGATCCTGAGATGCTACCTAAATTTCCCACGCAGTTGAATTTGCATTCATATACGATGTTAAGTTAACTGCGAGGGCAGTAAAGGCAGCATCTTGGGATCACCAGACACATTTTTGACATCGTAGGTGCTAAAACTGCATATTATTTTTTTCAGTGTATTTGAAACATTTCTGCCTTGATTTTGCCGAAATTCATTCCTCTGGGTTTTTGAATTCGGTTTGTCCGGACCCTTATTTAGATCAATTTAAAAACTATGCTGAGAAGTACCAGACTAGAGTCAAACATTGAAAATATTATTAAAATATATTAAACATTTACCAGTCAGAGGGGAATTTCTATAAAATCCGACGCGTTTCGACAACTTCGGTCATCTTCTGGGACGCAACTCACGTCCTTACTTAGATCTCGCTCAGATTTCATCATATAACTATTCTCTCTCATAAAGGATCATTTTGAATTGAAAATCAGTGTGAGCGCATTGAGTTATAAAATCTTCTTTTTTACTTTTTTACGTCAGAGTTTCGTCATACGTCAATGAGAGAGGTCGGACAAAATTTGGAAACTTTAAAAGCTTACAACTCTGATCAAGCAAAACTTTGAAATTGTAAATGTGGTTACATTGAATTCCTCGTGAAATCTCCAGTGGCGTGGCGTCCATAGGTTCGCAGTGTTCGCCGAACACCCTAAAATATTTTGATACAATTAATAAATTATGGCTAAGAATGTGGGAAGCAATACAGAATACAGAATAGTAGATCGCAAATAAGTATCGGGCGCTTGGCTTCCGACAGCGGCATGTGGCGCGGCGGAGAGAGAAAATCCTGTGACGCGTGGTTCGCACCGGCTACCGAACCTGGATGATTTGCGTACGGTGAGGAGAGAGAACCTGGGTGCAATGATGAAGGGGCAAAAGGTACACGAGAGAGGAGAGGCACCGGAGCATTGGGTTCGGAGACGAGTGCGGACTAGAGTACCTGTATAGGGAGAGTAGCGACAGATCTGAAACTCCGAAAGTCTATCAGGCCTTCACCGATGCCTCCGCGAATAAAGTTAAGGCCCAAAAGGGCAGCCAACCTATGAATTTCGAATGTCCAGAGCGATTTACAAATACAATTGTTACGAACCGTAGAAAGCATGTATTTGGTTTACTTTTTGCATAAATTTACTTATTTTTGCGAAAGAACGCTCATTTATGTACATTCTTAGCCATCTTGGTTAGAATTGAAATCAGTAGGCTGGCAGTGAAATTTTGTGTGTTAGAAGTTGCTCAGAAGGGTGGCTGCACTTTTGGGCCCCAAGCCCTCCATGAACCGATCTGTCGCTACTCTCCCTATACAGGTACTCTAGTGCGGACCGCGCTCGCGGAGGGAACACAGCAGAGAGAAAAGGGAGGGGAAAAGAAAGAGAGAGGAGAGCCGCTCATGAGCCCAGCTGTTTCCTATAGCAGTGGTCCGCAGGGGTTTGCGAACCGCCGAATTTCCTCTATGCCGCGATTCGCCCTCCGCTTCCCCCCCTGCGCCCGCATCTCCCAGTTTCCCAGTCTCCCTCTCCCACCTCTTTCTGCAGGTGCGTGTTGCGAAAATACGTTATCATATAACAAAATAAATTACAGGAAAACGATCGGTAAAAAGAACAAAATTTCAATGACAATTTACCGGCACAATTTTCACCAGAAAGGGTTAAAATCGTGTTCTTGCAGCTTCATTCTTTAAAAAGTTTCCGGGGGAGGCCCCCCGAACCCCCCTCTAAGGAGGGAGAGTGAACCTTTCTGACCCCCCCCCTCCTAAAGTTAACACTCCTACCGAACGCCTACCGGATATAGTCACGCCACGCCACTGGAAATCTCCTCTTAGAAGCATCTCTTATAATTTAAAATGTGACGATTTAATCATCAAAATTTGCAGTTTTAGTCAAAAATTTCATGTCCGACCTCTCTGATTGACTCGAACCACGCCTCGCGCCATCGCGCCTTCAATTTTACAGATGCAACATGGACATCCATAGCGCACAAATAGTTGTATTTCTGCGCCGTCATGAACCCTCGTCCTTTCTCATGCTCTATTCTGTGTTGGATTACTTTTTGGTGGTGTAAGTCGGCAATCACACAACTCGGTTCGTGACTTCGCAAAGTGGATCGAATCAATAGGAGAGGTCGGACAAAATTTGGAAACTTCAAAAGCTTATAACTCCGCTTTTTCAAAACTTCAAGGTTCTAAAAGTGGTTTCATTGCTTTTTCCGTAAAATTACCTTTCAGAGGCATCCCTTATAATTTAAAATGTGACGATTTAACCATCAAAATTTGCAGTTTCAGTCAAAAATTTCATTTCCGACCACTCTGATTGACTCGAACCACTGTGCAGCTCTCTTGGCTAGGAGGGCAGTAAAGTCAGAGACAAACCCTCCACTTGTATTTCGGCTCTTGTGGAAGCTTTTGCTTTCGGGACATCAACATAAAACTGTTGATTTACCTACATGGTTGATATTTACCAACGTGTTGGCAGTTTTCTTTCGCAAACAAGTCAAAACATGCCGTAGTTTGGCAAACTTGTTTGGCTCATGACGTCACCCGAGGCTCATCATCCACCATATTTGTAGGTCAACAGCCGAAAAAAGAGTGATGACTGTTGCTCCCTTATAATTGTCCATAAGAAAGTGTTGAATCCCCGAAAGTGAAAGTTTCTACCTGTCGCGAAGAGGCCAGTGGAGGGTCTCTTGTCTCTGAGTAAAGTCTACTCTGCCTGCGTGGATTTGAGACTTGTTTCATTGTGTGCTTGTGTACTCTTGGCTGAAGGGGTTGTGTTTTGTGTTGTGCAGGTAGCCGGGAAGCAGCGTTCACGTACGCGATCTCGTCGGCGGGGGTGGCGTACGCAGTGACGGCGGCCTGCAGCCGGGGGAACATCTCGACGTGCGGCTGCGACCCGCGGCACAAGGAGCGCAAGGAGCTGGCCCTCCAGGGCCCCGGCCCGAGCGGCTGGAAATGGGGCGGCTGCAGCGTGGACATGGGCTTCGGCATGCGCTTCGCCCGCAAGTTCCTCGACGCTCGCGAGATCGAGCGCGATGCCCGCAGCCTCATGAATCTCCACAACAACAAGGCCGGCAGAAAGGTACGTACATTTCCGCCATCCACGCTTTAGTTTCCGCACATCTTCACCAGCTCCAAAGAATCATAGCTTGGGATGGAGGAAATACCTAAGGTCTAAGGTCATGGTAAGGTAACGAGAGCCAACGTAACATATCTTTTAGGACGAGGAAATAGAATGGACCACTAGACAAGGTACGAATTTCAGCATTCTGATTTATGTTACTTAACCAAAATTTCACGTAAAACACGATGCGCTCAACGAAAATTACCGACATCAACTTCTTACGAAAATATTCAATGATTCTTGATGCGTGAATTCAAACCATCCGCTCATGAAAACTCAGTGCTCTACGTGATTCATATCGCGCGCTAAACGTTATCATGACAGTCTCTCCGATTTACAAATCTGGCAACCTCGATCTTGACGCTTTGGCTAAGCTATAGCAAATTGCTGATAGTTTGAACAACACATGGTGGGAAATGAACATTGCTCGATTGAGAAGTTTGCTGAAACCATTGTAGTGCGCGGTTTGACTCACGTAGAGCTTTGAGATTCTTGTGAGCGGGCAGTTCAAATGTCTCGTAACCAATGTGAAATAAAAATTTTAATATCTCCGTTAGGAGTTGGTTTCAATAATTTTCGTTGCGCGAATCGTGTTTTACGTGCAATTCTGGTTAAGAAGCATGTATCAGAATGCTAAAATTCGTACCGTGTCTAGTGGTCCATTGTATTGATTTGACTAAAAATAAAAAAAAATTTAGCTAGAATGTTAACCAAAAAGATGCCCGCAGCCTCATGAATCTCCACAACAACGAAGCCGGCAGCACACGGAAAAAAAGTGTCGGGAGTCATCCCCTAAAATTGTGGTGCTACCCCAATTTGTTGTATGATATGGACATTTCTAATTAATTTTAATAGTACCGCAACTCAAGTTAGGGTAGCGCTACAACATTTGGGTTAGTTACCTAATTTATTGGGGCACTACCATAATTAATTGGGGTGCTACCATAATTAATTTGGGTACTACCACCATTAATTGGAAATGTCCATATCATCCAATAACCTCGTGCTTTTTTTCCGTGAAAGTCACGTACGTGCAGTCTCCGTCTTCCGCCTTTCCATGCGCCTCTCCACGCTCTAGTTTCCGCAGATCTTCATTATTAGTGCTCCCAAATTCCAATTTCAAGCATTGTCAGTTGAACTTTCTCTCCGCAATAAGGATCCATGTAACATTTATGTAAAACTTCAAATAGGCATTTCGCGAAATAGCAAAAACTGCACTTGTGCGCCTTGTCCTCCAAGCCCCCTATAGGTTATGTTGATGCTCGTTACCTTACTATGACCTTAGATATTTCCTCCATCCTAAGGTTTGACTCGTTGGAGCTGCAAGCTGATTATTGAAATTGACAGACAAAGCTGTAGGCAAAGATGACGTAGGGAGTATGGAGCGATCCTATTGGTTGCAACTGGTGGCTTTTACAGACTAAGGGGGAATATGATGGACTGACTGTCGCAGGTCTCTTGTCGGTTGCCGTTAGTTAGTCTATTACTTACCTCCTTCGTCCATTGCAACCACCCGCTTCCACTAGTAGGATCCCTCCGTATCGATTTTATCTGCTTTGTCTATAGCTTTGTCTATCAATTTCAATAATCAGCCCGCAGCTCCAACGAATCAAAGCTTAGGATAGAGGAAATAACTATTTGACGTTTCAAAATTACATGGATCCTCATTGCGGAAAGAAAGTTCAAACTGACTCTTTGATGCTTAAAAATTGGAATTTGGGAGAAAAGTTTTCACAGAATATGCATTCAGACTATAGTTTTACGTGAAATCATTAATGTCTCAATTTTTTCAAAAACTGCACTTATGCGCCTTGTTCTCCAAGCCCCTCATATCTTTTAAGAGAGAATAGAGGTGAACACATGAACACACTTATTTAAACCATTAAATAAAAAACTGTTCCATTATACTAAATTTACTATAAGAACAAGAAAAATTTAGCTAGAAAATAACATTTCGCTCACTTAAAGCTTACTTAAGTGTAGGTTCAACAACAAAATATTCAACACTAACTTATTACATCACAATCTGTGCTCGTTCACTACTCGGGCGGAATCATATTGCCTAGTTCTCTCTCCTATCCTTGCGTTTAAGTCTCCGAGAATTTTTAGGCAATTGCGCTGCGCTCTGAAGAGAAACAATTGATGTTAAAATCTATCAAGTCCATTTTGTGGTGGGCCTTAAACTCCATAAGAATGACTACTTATGGTTTATCAGATAGTGCGGAAAATTCTGCCAAGGCTGATGAGAATTGTTCTATTCAAGATGCCACATCCAATCCAAGGTCTTCTCAAACTTTCTTTGGTTACAATGTGACGCTTTCCAATAAATTAATGAAAGCTGTCTAAAGAATGACTGTGAGAATTCAGCTCTTAGTTTCAGGATCATCTGGATTAATTGAACTACATTCTACAAAATTTAGGAGCTACTAATCTTGACCTATAAAAGTAACAATCTGCATTAGAAAACTAATGACATATTTTGTTCCTGAAATGAGCCAGAAACAAAAGTTTTCTATTCCAAAATGTTGTGCAATTTTGCGTCAGCTACCTAAGCTGGCAATGGAATTTTTGCATGTGTCAGGAATTTTCGATTTGAGTACTGATTCCTCTGTACATTTTCACGAGAAACCGCGACGGTGCCACTGGTTTTCCCTGAAACAAACTCCAAAACTCAAAAAAAGCTTTCAAAGTTAAGACCGCAATGGAGGGAATATCCCACGCTATCCTAAGAGTCCACTTCTATATCAAGTTAAACTCTCCATGCAAGGATAGGGATCAAATAAATTAACAGGGTTGCCAGTTTGTTCGGATACTTCAAAACTGAAAACACGGCAACCCAACCAATTTTTTTGCTCCCTATCTCTGCATGGAGACTTTGACTAGGTATGGACGTATCGAGCTAAAAGGAACTTTTTTGTCTCATTTCCTCCCACTCTATAACCGTCAAAAGTTCCGGGCTTCCCTTTAGATTTTTTCAAAAGCTCCGAGTAAGTGTCTGGAATGCAATAGATCCGGAATATTTCGGGAATTTCCAAAATTCCGAGAAAATTTTGAGAAAATCTCAAGAGTTTCAGAATTAAGAACTAGTTTTGGGAAATGGGAGCATGCACTGATCCCATCTATAACGGCCTCAACTTAGAGAGTTTTTTCTAGCTTCGGAGTTTGTTTTAGAGAAAACCAATGGCATCGTCGCACGGTGGGTCAAGTCAATAGGAGAGGTCGGACAAAATTTACAAACTTTAAACGCCTATAACTCCGTTAATACACAATTTTGAGGTTCTCGAAGTGGTTCCATTGGGTTTTTCGCAAAATTTTCATCCTGAACCACCCCTTTAAGTTTAAAATGTGACAAAATAAACATGTAAGATTTGCAGTTTTAGTCAAAAATTTCATGTCCGACCTTTTCAATTGGCTCGATCTATTGTGCGTCGTGTCTCTCGCGAAATTTTACGCAAGAAAAAGTGCTCACATTGGAAGTCCGCGACACATGCAAGACAGTGGCGTGGCGTGCTTTGCGATGTATCGATTGTCATGCCATTTGAGCCTATGGAAAAGGATCGATAAACTGGGTGTTCGCAGCGAACACCTTAATAATCGATTATTTACCGTAGGTTTAAATGGCAGAACAATCGATACATCGCAATTCACGCCACGCCACTGATGCCCATTTCCTTGCCCACTGGGACAACGCCGCTCATCCATTGTCATTGTCGTCCAAAGGCAGGAGCAGGAGCAGTCCAAGGGGGTGGCGGGCGATGGCGGGAGGCGGCCGGGGCGGCGGCGGAATCTGATAAGCGGCTGATAGGTGTCACTGGTGCGCTGTGCGCCAACTGCAATCTGCTATCAGATATCCGAGTGATTTCAGTATTTCAATCCGGCTTTTTCATTTTTCCCCTCGGCTCGGTCCCCGGCCGCGGCGCGCGTACGCGTATATTGTCATCGCCATTTGTTTTAATTCAATTAAAAAGGATTTATTGGTTAGCCCTGGCGGGCAAACTTCCTTTCAGCCGTGGCGGCGTTGCCGAATCTCCGGTGAAATCGGCGGATTCCCATTGGTTCGTGTGGGGGTTCCGCGACGGTCGGGCAACTTTCGCACTGCACTTTTAATGCGCGTTCCTCCGTCGGTTCCTTCGATTTGCATTCCTCGAACCAGCTGCTCTGACTCTCTCTTAGGGCTGTCCTCCAAAGGTTTCTTCTCACAGTGGATGGAGCCAAAAGAAATTTTCAAGAGTTCCACTCCTCGGAGAGATTTTGACAAAACAGGCATTTTGAAGATTTATTACTATTTATGACGCGCTTATTCAATTCGCCTTAACAGTGGCGAGGCGAGAATGATCGATTATCGATATTCCCTTAATTGGACCAAGTTCATGGAAAGGGACCAACCCACATTTGCGAAAAAAATGGAGTTAAGAATGTTTTTGAGTTTCACTAGCCGTATATTTTCTCCTACCATAAACTGAAAGTCGGAAAACAGAAAATAGTTTCTGAAGAGAAGGGTTGAAGCTTTTCTGCGTTGAGCCTTGTGCCCGGGAAGAGTACTTCAAATCTCTTTCTTTCAGTTTCAACTTAATAAGGGGTGGTTCCTAACTGATGAACTCGGTCCAATTGAAGCTGTGGTAAAGAATCTATTATTAAAGATGTTCGTTGCGAACGTCCTGTCTGAAAAAATGGCAAATCAATCGATATATCGCAAAGCACGCCACGCCACTGCTTGAAATGCATTGGTATTGTTCTTTCGAGTTTTGAAGACATGAAGAATAAGAAGAAAGTCTCCTACAGAGGCCGTCCATAAAGGGCGTAAGGTGATTTATCCGATTTTCCCCCCTCCCTCTACCTTCCCCCATGTGAGATAATTTTTAGGGACCTTTGATTGAATCCTCGGCAAGTGCCAAGCACCTCTGGACATTTCCCTCATACATGCCTGACGTTCCTCATTGATTATCGATGGTCAAAAC